GCCTATTATGGCGCATTAAGGCAACTCTCAATCTCTACCGAGGAAGAATATCGAGTTTTGTGTAGTGAGTGACGGTAATCGGTTTTTATTAGTAACGTTTTGATCTTAATTCTCAGGGGTAACAATTAATGTACACTGCGATTTCTAACCGAAGACGTAAGTGTCTGTGGATCATAGAATCCACTAGCCATAGGTTGGACTGTGTGCTCGTTTGAATTGAATAAATGTGACAAAATTGCCCCGCAGGGTCTCGCTGTCTCGCTTCGCGCCACGCTGCGAGGCATCACGAGGTGCAACGTGGCGCAGCGCGACGCTCCGGGGCATTTTTGAATTATCTCAATAAAATGTGTATCTTTTTTATGTAGTAAATAAAGTTATAATTTTTATCACTATGTTAAAACGTGCGCCGCGTCGGTTCTCGTCTCAGTGTGAACTGACCCTTATAATAAAGCTAAGAAATTCTAAGCGGTCAGCCACCGCAGAGTCAACTTCACCTGAGAATGTCAAGTTCAAAGTTGAAATACATGTCGTGTTATTGAGATGGTGATGTGTATTTTCTAGTATTGTGATGCTAGGATAAGTGGTGACGGGGATTGTGCACGCAACTGAGGGAGGGCAGGAGGTGCTCTTCAAAATCGACAAGACAAATTATTTTATTTCATAACACGAATCTTAGCTAATCAACCCTTACTCTACTAGAAAAAAAAAACACATATTTAATACTTAAATATTTGGAACTTAATCAGTTACATTCTGTTATGATAGAGTTAATCAAAGCGAACACAAACTAATTATTGAATGGGATTTATTCTACCCTTACTATACCAATAGGCTCGCAAAATCACATAGCGCAAATATTAATCCGGACGCATGTTTATTTAGACCGAAGCTATGCAGTGCGGAATGAATAAAATCTATGATTTAATTAACAATGGAATAGATTTTTTATGTACTCGTAGTGTTAGATAATACTGCTAACTATTCAAATACATGAACACTACGTAATAAAGACTTTAAGTAATAAAATATTTATGAAAAGCATGATAAGTATATTCAATATACATATACTGGATGATTTTTTACCGTCCGGAAAAAAGGGAGTAACACGTGAACGGAATAGAAGTCTATGGCACTAATATTTTACAATTTTTTATTTTATTCGTCGTTGTAGACGGTGCAAGCTCCGATTGCAAGCCTATTAATGCTGGTGTTCCACAAGGCTGCGTGCTATCGCTAACGCTGTTTCTTCTGCATATCAATGATATGTTGCAAACCCGTAACATTCATTGCTATGCAGATGACAGCACTGGTGAAGCTCTTTACACCGGCCGAGCCAATATTTTTCGGGAAAACGTCTCCGAGTGCCGGGACAAACTTGTGTCTGAAGTCGAGTCTTTGCTGAACAGAGTCTCGGATTAGGGGCGACTAAATCTAGTCCAGTTTAACTCCCAGAAGTCACAAGTTTGCGCGTTAACCGCTAAAAAGAACCCCCTTGTCGTATCTCCTCAGTTTCAAGGCAGAGCACTGGCAAGCAACAAGGGGACTTGTTGCCTCAGCCAGTATCGGAATCCTCGGCGTTGACATATCGAGTGACGTGCAGTTTCGTGGTCACCGCCGTGGAGCACGCCAAGCTTTTTAGAGGCCAAATTGGCCTCTAAAAAGCTTGGCGTGCTCAGCAGAGCGGGACAGTATTTCATGCCGGCACACCGCCTGCAACTTTACAAGGCGCAGGTTTGGCCGCACATGGAATACTGTTCCCATCTCTGGGCTGGGGATCCACAGTACCAGCTCCTTCCACTTGACCGCATCCAACGCAGAGCGGCTCGAATCGTCGACGACCGAGTGCTTTCCGATCGGCTCGATTCACTGGCACTGCGAAGAGATGTTGCATCTCTTTGCATTTTATTTCGCATATACCATGGAGAGTGCTCTGAGGAATTGTTCGGATTAATCCTAGCCGCCAAATTTCGTGAACGCACTACGCGGAAAACGTCCCGATACCATCCAAACCATCTGGATGCTTGGCGGTCCACGTTTCAAAAGGAGTTTTCTTCCGCGTACAACTTCTCTGTGGAATAGTTTACCACCGGCGATTTTTCCGGAACGATACGACCTGGGGACCTTCAAGAAAAGAGCTTACTCCTTTCTAAAGGGCCGGCAACGCACCTGCAATTCCCCTGGTGTTGCAGTTGATCATGGGCGGCGGTAGTCACTTAACATCAGGTGAGCCACATGATCGTTTGCCCCCTCTTCTATAAAAAAAGATTTACATTAACATATTATAAAATTGATCTATAAAGAAATACTAATTGGGTACGTATTTATTTAATTTTGATAGTTTTTCATTGATTTAGGTGTGTTTATATTTTGTGTGTTTATGTATTTATAAATACATAAACACACAAATTAAATGAAGTATGCAAGCCAATAGTAACATCGAAACAATGCTTGACATGGAGCAGCCTCAAAGAAACATCACTTTCTTTGCTGGGACTAAGAGAATTACCATGACAGACATAATGATAACAACGAGTAAGACTCGTTGAATGACCTCAGCTAGTCATCTGCGCAGTTCTTTATACTGCTTGAAGGAGTGAGGGAGTTTAAACGCTTAAAAGTTAACTACTGTCACTCTTAACAAGAGTTTTAAAGTCAGTCAAGATAACAGACCACTGGCTGCTGACCACAAGAGAAGCACTAGCTTTCAAAAGAATCATAAAAATCGGTTCACATACTTTACCATCTTGAGATTGTTTTTACGGGAAAACTTGGAAATACCCGTGAAAGCATTGGTTTCTCTCGTGTATAAAAAATATCGTTCAACTTCTATGTTCTCACTCCCATGACTTACTTAACGTAGACATTAAAAATCTTGTGTTAAAAAACTTAAACGACGAATGAGTGCATTGTTTTTTTTCTACTTCTTCATCACCTCTAAAAATCATAGAATAGATACAGTTGTACTGTAGTACATCCTATCAAAGTTCACTGCTGATTGTACGCTTCCTTCGTATTGTACGTCTCGTGGCCGGCCTTTTAGAAAGGAACAAGCTCTTTTCTTGAAGGCCTCGAAATCGTATCGGTCTGGAATAAAAAAAACTGGCTAAGTGCGTGTTGGGCCACGCACATTGTAGTAGTAGTGTTCCGAAGTAGCCCGTTACAATACGTGAATTTAGAAGGGGCCTTCTTAATAATATGAACATATTGAGTTCATGGGAGATTACGACACATCTTGTCGTCAGGCATATCTCAAAACTTCAAAATAAAAGTGACGACCTGATAAGACATGCAGGAAGTCGATGGATGCAGGTGGCCCAGGACTGGGCCTCGAGGCATTTCTTAGGAGAGGCCTATGTTTTGCAGTAGACTTGGGAAGGACTGTAATGATGATAATGATCGTGAAATGAGTTCACGGTTTTACCGCTATAACGACTAAAATAGGACAATATTAATAATAATAATAATAATAATAATAGACCGTATGGAAGGAGAAGGAGCTCCACGGGAGGTTCTACAAGGCTCTACATGAGCCTTTCGTAGACACAGTAGCCTCCCTCCACTGGCTACGCTTTGGTGATCTCTTCGGGGGAAACCGAGGGTTTTGTCTGTGCAATACAGGATCAGGTTATTAAGACCAACAACTATCGGAGATACATCCTAAAGGATGGCACCGTCGACATCTGTCGAGCTTGTCGCCATCCCGGTGAGTCACTTAGGCATGTTATCTCCGGTTGTTCGGCGCTTTCTAACTCTGAGTACTTGCACAGGCACAACCTAGTAGCCAGAATTCTACACCAGGAGCTCGCTCTGAAATACGGTCTCGTGGATCGGAAATTGCCGTATTACAAGTACTTGCCGGAAGCCGTGCTCGAAAATGATCGCGCCAGGCTCTATTGGGACCGGGCCATCATCACAGACAGGACTATTCTTGCGAATAAGCCTGATATTGTGCTGATGGACCGGGCACAGTCAAGGATATTTTTGGTCGACATTACCATTCCGTATGACGAGAACCTCGTGAAAGCCGAAACAGACAAGCAAACAAAATATCTGGACCTGGCTCACGAGGTGACCGACATGTGGGGTGGTCTGCCGACCGAAATTATTCCTGTAGTCGTCTCTGCAAACGGGCTAATCCCAGTCAGCCTCTCGGGTCATCTGAGGCGGCTGGGACTACGTGGCGGACCGCTCCAGGTTCAAATGCAGAAGGCGGTGCTCCTCGATACCGCCCGCATCGTCCGCCGGTTTCTTTCCCTTTCCCCCTAACCCTCGGCCGTTTGGTCTCCCCTGCCGAGGGCCTCCATCTGGTTGGGCTTTTATTTATTTATGTACTTTTATATTTATTTTATGTTATTGATATTTATGTATATTTGTCTTTTCATTTTCATTTATAATTATATATTTATAGCACCCAACCAGATGAGAAAACTATATAGATACCCCAAAATAATAATAATAATAATAATAAGGCGTAGGGAAGTGACGACCCCATCTCCCGCTGACGAAACAGTTAAGTGACAAAACTGCTACGTCGGTGCAGTCAGTCAGCGCCTTGGCAAGAGGTGTGAGCGCCGTGCCTCGGCAGTACTCAGGGTGCAAAGGCCCGTTTGTGCTTACGGCCGTACAATGATACAATAAAACGGTGCCGGGCCTGGGCGTCTCCCGCTAATTGGCGCCCAAAAATGGATGATGGATAAGATTGGAAAACGTATAGGGCCGCTGCCTGGGGGTCGCCGGGGCGCGTCTGGAGCTGGCGCTGGACGCGGCAGCATGCGGGCCGCCAGCCGAGCGCGAGGAGCTGCAAGATCACCTAACAGCCCCCCGCATCCATCATCCCCACCAGACGGCTTGATGTCGGCAGGGTCCTCTCGGACTCGGCAAGCGGCATCCGCCGCTGGTGGAGTGCGCCGCATGCGTTGGACAAGGGATATGAACGCAAACGCAATGCGGGCGTACTATAGGCGAGGGAAGAAACTGCGGGGATAGCGTATCGGGCTCGGATGCATTGCTTTTTTGCTGAGCTGGAGCCGTCTATTCCCGTCACGGAACAAAACCTGGCAGACCGAGTTCGGTACATCATGCGCTCGAAAATATTCGATGATGCCGAGCTCGAACGACTACGACGTGAGGCCATTCCCTCATCGAATGAATTGGCTACGGCTGGGGATGAGGCTCCTCAGGCGACAGACCAGCTGCCACGAGTAGAAGCCGCCATGGATCTTCCAGTTGTGGGTGATTCAGACGATGATGAAATGGTCTCCCACGAACTAGAGCAAATGAGGAGTATATTGGAAGAGGCGATTTTAGAAACGCGCAGCATGCCTCTCGAAAATCGACCGCGACTTCCCCGCATACCCCTAAGCAAGCGAAATCGGGCTGTCGTGAGGGCTCTTCACCCAATGCTGGTAACCTATTTGGAAGCCAGCCGGGACCTTTGCGAGACGGACTCAGTTCTTTTTGGCGCCGCAGTGGCAGCTTGCCGTATTATTGGCGCCAAACTTCCCATGGCTGGACGTGCTACTAAACAAAGTAGCGCGATCCCAGCCTGGAGAAAAAGAATTGAGGACCGTATCGCAAAGGCAAGGGCCCTTATCGGCAGACTGATAAGCTTCAGGTCGGGTAATAATAGACCGAGGGTTGTGCGCACCGTTAGAATGGCGTTTGCTGGGACAAATATCAGTTTGTCCCAGCCGGATATCACGCAGAAACTAACGGAGCGCATAGACGACCTGAAGCAAAAGATTGCCGCTTGGGGGAAGCGGATTCGCCGATTTACCGAGAGGTCAAGGCGGTTCAACCAGAATCGTCTCTTCCAGAGTGATCAGAAGAGGCTCTACAAATCATTGGAGCGACCAGAGGTATGTGGAGCGGGCCCAGGACCGGATCAGGCTAACACTGTCGCATTTTGGCGTGGCCTGTGGTCAGAGCCCGTAAACCACAGCGAGGGCCCTTGGACGGAAGTTGTGGCGAGTCAGTGTGCGAGTATTACGCCCATGGACCCCGTCATCATAACGCCGGATGACGTAGCTGAGGCGGTCCGTAGAGCCCCGAACTGGAAAAGTCCGGGACTCGACGGACTGCATCACTACTGGCTGAAGGGGTTCATGGTGTGTCACGCTGTGCTCGCCCGTCAGTTTCAAGAGGCTCTCAACCAGAAGTCGCTCCCTAGCCTCTTCACTACTGGGATCACTCATTTGGTTCCTAAAGACCAGGTTACCACAGACCCGAGCAAATACCGCCCCATTACGTGTCTACCCACCATATATAAGACACTGACATCCATTTTGAGCGCGAGAATCACTCGTCACCTGGAGCTAAATCAGGTGATGTCACGCGCTCAAAATGGATGTCGGGGCGGTGGTCGTGGAACTAAGGAACCACTCCTCATTGACGCGGTCATTGGCAAAGTGGTGAAACGCAACCGTCGGAACTTCTCCGCCGCCTGGATAGACTACAGAAAGGCATTCGACTCGGTGCCCCATACATGGCTAAAGAGAGTCCTCGAGCTGTACAAGATAGACTGTACAGTGAGAGACTTCCTCGAGCTGTGTATGGGGCAGTGGAGTACGATCCTTTGTCATCTGGGTGAGCGGATGATGGCTGCGGAGAACCACATAAGGATAAGAAGGGGTATCTTCCAGGGCGATTGTCTGAGTCCAATCTGGTTCTGCCTCTCCCTGAACCCTCTCAGTACCTTACTGGAGGGATCCGGGAGAGGATTTCAGCTACGGAAAGGAGGGACAAAAGTGACCCACCTTTTCTATATGGATGACCTTAAGTTATTCGCCTCCAGTCGCTCCCATCTTGTGGAATTGCTAAAAATCACTTGTGAGTTTAGCAGTTCCATTGGAATGGAGCTGGGGACGGATAAGTGTGCGGTCCTCCATGTTGAGAGGGGAAGGGTTGCTAACTCTGAGGGCATAGATTTATCTATGCCCGTCAACTTAAGGACCCTTTCCGAGGCTGAAACATACCGATACCTGGGTATGTCACAGAACATCGGTATCGATGAGGCTGGTGTGAAACAGTCAGTTTGCGACGTGTTTTATGCACGCTTGACCAAAGTGCTTAATAGCCTTTTTGTCCGGTGTGAATAAGACACACGCATATAACGGTTGGGTCATGCCTGTCCTTATGTATACCTTTGGCATACTCAGGTGGACTCAGACTGAACTTAACGCCCTGGATAGAAAAGTCCGCACTACCATGACGTCCCATAGGATGCATCATCCGAGATCGTCGGTAATGAGGCTGTACTTGCCGCGAAAGCATGGTGGGCGTGGCTTTCTAAGCGCGCTCACTATGCATAATCGTGAAGTGTGCAGCCTCCGTCATTACTTCCTGGCGAGATCGGATGATCCATTCTATAATGACGTCATTTCTAGTGATAAAGGGCTTACCCCTCTATCCTTGGCCAACGAGCAATGGCAGGACCCAGCAGTGCTTAGCATTTCCGACCGGGAGACCGTATGGAAGGAGAAGGAGCTCCACGGGAGGTACTACAGGGTTCTACATGAGCCCTTCGTAGATACAGTCGCCTCCCTCAACTGGCTACGTTTCGGTGACCTCTTCGGGGGAAACCGAGGGTTTTGTCTGTGCAATACAGGATCAGGTTATTAAGACCAACAACTATCGGAGATACATCCTAAAGGATGGCACCGTCGACGTCTGTCGAGCTTGTCGCCATCCCGGGGAGTCACTTAGACATGTCATCTCCGGTTGTTCGGCGCTTTCTAACTCTGAGTACTTGCACAGGCACAACCTAGTAGCCAGAATTCTACACCAGGCGCTCGCTCTGAAATACGGTCTCGTGGACCGGAAATTGCCGTATTACAAGTACTTGCCGGAAGCCGTGCTCGAAAATGACCGTGCCAGGCTCTACTGGGACCGGGCCATCATCACAGACAGGACTATTCTTGCAAATAAGCCTGATATTGTGCTGATGGACCGGGCACTACCATTCCGTATGACAAGAACCTCGTGAAAGCCGAAACAGATAAGCAAACAAAATATCTGGACCTGGCTCACGAGGTGACCGACATGTGGGGTGGTCTGCCGACCGAAATTATTCCTGTAGTCGTCTCTGCAAACGGGCTAATCCCAGTCAGCCTCTCGGGTCATCTGAGGCGACTGGGACTCCGTGACGGACCGCTCCGGGCTCAAATGCAGAAGGCAGTGGTCCTCGATACCGCCCGCATCGTCCGTCGGTTTCTTTCCCTTTCCCCCCTAACCCTCGGCCGTTTGGTCTCCCCCTGCCGAGGGCTTCCATCTGGTTGGATCTTTATTTATTTGTGTATTTTTTTGAATTTATTTTATTTTATTGATATTTATGTATATTTATCTTTTCATTTTAATTTATAATTATATATTTATAGAAACCAACCAGATGAGAAAACTATACAGATACCCCAAAAATAATAATAATAATAGTATTACGCCCATGGACCCCGTCATCATAACGCCGGATGACGTAGCTGAGGCGGTCCGTAGGGCCCCGAACTGGAAAAGTCCGGGGCTTGACGGGCTGCATCACTACTGGCTGAAGGGGTTCATGGTGTGTCACTCTGTGCTTGCCCGACAGTTTCAAGAGGCTCTCAACCAGAAGTCGCTCCCAAGCCTCTTCACTACTGGGATCACTCATTTGGTTCCTAAAGACCAGGGTACCACAGACCCGAGCAAATACCGCCCCATCACGTGTCTACCGACCATATACAAGACACTAACATCCATTTTGAGCGCGAGAATCACTTGTCACCTGGACTCAAATCAGGTAATGTCGCGCGCTCAAAATGGATGTCGGGGGCGGTGGTCGTGGAACCAAGGAACCACTCCTCATTGACGCGGTCATTGGCAAAGTGGTGAAACGCAACCGTCGGAACTTCTCCGCCGCCTGGATAGACTACAGAAAGGCATTCGACTCGGTGCCCCATACATGGCTAAAGAGAGTCCTCGAGCTGTACAAGATAGACTGTACAGTTAGAGACTTCCTCGAGCAGTGTATGGGGCAGTGGAGTACGATCCTTTGTCATCTGGGCGAGCGGATGATGGCTGCGGAGAACCACATAAGGATAAGAAGGGGTATCTTCCAGGGCGATTGTCTGAGTCCAATCTGGTTCTGCCTCTCTCTGAACCCTCTCAGTACCTTACTGGAGGGCTCCGGGAGGGGATTTCAGCTACGGAGAGGAGGTGCAAAAGTAACCCACCTTTTCTATATGGATGACCTCAAGTTATTCGCCTCCAGTCGCTCCCATCTTATGGAATTGCTAAACATCACTTGTGAATTTAGCAATTCCATTGGAATGGAGCTTGGGACGGATAAGTGTGCGGTCCTCCATGTTGAAAGGGGAAGGGTTGCTAACTCTGAGGGCGTAGACTTATCTATGCCCGTCAACTTAAGGACCCTTTCCAAAGCTGAAACATACCGATACCTGGGTATGTCACAAAACATCGGTATCGATGAGACTGGTATGAAACAGTCAGTTTGCGACGTGTTTTACGCACGCTTGACCAAAGTGGTTAACAGCCTTTTGTCCGGTGTGAATAAGGCACACGCATATAACGGCTGGGTCATGCCTGTCCTCATGTATACCTTTGGCATACTCAGGTGGACTCCGACTGAACTTAACGCCCTGGATAGAAAAGTCCGCACTACCATGACGTCCCATAGGATGCATCATCCGAGATCGTCGGTAATGAGGTTGTACTTGTCGCGGAAGCATGGTGGTCGTGGCTTCTTGAGCGCGCTCACCATGCATAATCGCGAAGTGTGCAGCCTCCGTGATTACTTCCTGGCGAGATCGGATGATCCATTCTATATGGACGTCATTTCTTGTGATAAAGGACTTACCCCTCTATCCTTAGCCAACGAGCAATGGCAAGACCCGGCAGTGCAGAGCATTTCCGACCGAGAGACCGTATGGAAGGAGAAGGAGCTCCACGGGAGGTTCTACAACGCTCTACATGAGCCTTTCGTAGACACAGTAGCCTCCCTCCACTGGCTACGCTTTGGTGATCTCTTCGGGGAAACCGAGGGTTTTGTCTGTGCAATACAGGATCAGGTTATTAAGACCAACAACTATCGGAGATACATCCTAAAGGATGGCACCGTCGACATCTGTCGAGCTTGTCGCCATCCCGGTGAGTCACTTAGGCATGTTATCTCCGGTTGTTCGGCGCTTTCTAACTCTGAGTACTTGCACAGGCACAACCTAGTAGCCAGAATTCTACACCAGGAGCTCGCTCTGAAATACGGTCTCGTGGACCGGAAATTGCCGTACTACAAGTACTTGCCGGAAGCCGTGCTCGAAAATGATCGCGCCAGGCTCTATTGGGACCGGGCCATCATCACAGACAGGACTATTCTTGCGAATAAGCCTGATATTGTGCTGATGGACCGGGCACAGTCAAGGATATTTTTGGTCGACATTACCATTCCGTATGACGAGAACCTCGTGAAAGCCGAAACAGACAAGCAAACAAAATATCTGGACCTGGCTCACGAGGTGACCGACATGTGGGGTGGTCTGCCGACCGAAATTATTCCTGTAGTCGTCTCTGCAAACGGGCTAATCCCAGTCAGCCTCTCGGGTCATCTGAGGCGGCTGGGACTACGTGGCGGACCGCTCCGGGTTCAAATGCAGAAGGCGGTGCTCCTCGATACCGCCCGCATCGTCCGCCGGTTTCTTTCCCTTTCCCCCTAACCCTCGGCCGTTTGGTCTCCCCTGCCGAGGGCCTCCATCTGGTTGGGCTTTTATTTATTTATGTACTTTTATATTTATTTTATGTTATTGATATTTATGTATATTTATTTTTTCATTTTCATTTATAATTATATATTTATAGAACCCAACCAGATGAGAAAACTATATAGATACCCCATAATAATAAAAGAAAATCGACCGCGACTTCCCCGCTTAGCCCTAAGCAAGCGGAATCGGGCTGTCGTGAGGGCTCTGAACCCAATGCTGGTTACCTATTCCAGCCAGGATCTTTGCGAGACGGACTCAATTCTTTTTGGCGCCGCACTGGCAGTCTGCCGTATTATAGGCGCCAAACTTTCCACGGCTGGACGCGCTACTGGACAAAGTAGTGCTATCCCAGCCTGGAGAATAAGAATTGAAGAACGTATCGCAAAGGCTAGGGCCCTCATCAGCAGACTGATATGCTTCAGGTCAGGATACCAGGCCAAGGATTGTGCACACCGTCAGGATGGCGTTTGCTGGGACAAATGTTAGTTTGTCCCAGCCGGATATAATGCAAAAACTGACGGAGCGCATAGACGACCTGAAGCAAAGAATCGCTGCTTGGGGAAAGCGGATTCGGCGATATACCGAGAGGTCAACACGGTTCAACCAGAATCGTCTCTTCCAGAGTGATCAGAAGAGGCTCTATAAATCATTGGAGCGACCAATAGTAAGTGGAACGGGCCCAGCACCAAATCGGGCCGACACGGTCGCATTCTGGCGCAGCCTGTGGTCAGAGCCCGTAAACCACAACGAGGGCCCTTGGACGGAAGTTGTGGCGAGATGGACCCCGTCATCATAACCCCCGGATGACGTAGCTGTGGCGGTCCGTAGGGCCCCGAACTGGAAAAGTCCGGGGCTTGACGGGCTGCATCACTACTGGCTGAAGGGGTTCATGGTGTGTCACGCTGTGCTCGCCCGACAGTTTCAAGAGGCTCTCAACCAGAAGTCGCTCCCAAGCCTCTTCACTACTGGGATCACTCATTTGGTTCCTAAGGGTCCCAAAGATCAGGATGCCACAGACCCGAGCAAATACCGCCCCATCACGTGTCTACCGACCATATACAAGACACTAACATCCATTTTGAGCGCGAGAATCGCTCGTCACCTGGACTCTAATCAGGTGATGTCGCGCGCTCAAAATGGATGTCGGGGCGGCGGTTGTGGAACCAAGGAACCACTCCTCATTGACGCGGTCATTGGCAAAGTGGTGAAACGCAACCGTCGGAACTTCTCCGCCGCCTGGATAGATTACAGAAAGGCATTTGACTCGGTGCCCCATACATGGCTAAAGAGGGTCCTCGAGCTGTACAAGATTGACTGTACAGTTCGAGACTTCCTCGAGCAGTGTATGGGGCAGTGGAGTACGATCCTCTGTCATCTAGGCGAGCGGATGACGGCTACGGAAAGCCGCATAAGGATAAGAAGGGGTATATTCCAGGGCGACTGTCTGAGTCCAATCTGGTTCTGCCTCTCTTTGAACCCTCTCAGTACTTTACTAGAGGGCTCCGGGAGGGGATTTCAGCTTCGGAAAGGAGGTGCAAAAGTAACCCACCTTTTCTATATGGATGACCTCAAGTTATTCGCCTCCAGTCGCTCCCATCTTATAGAATTGCTAAAGATCACTTGTAAATTTAGCAATTCTATTAGAATGGAGCTGGGGACGGATAAGTGTGCGGTCCTCCATGTTGAAAGGGGAAGGGTTGCTAACTCTGAGGGCATAGACTTATCTATGCCCGTCAACTTAAGGGCCCTTTCCGAGGCTGAAACATACCGATACCTGGGTATGTCACAGAACATCGGTATCGATGAGGCTGGTATGAAACAGTCAGTTTGCGACGTGTTTTATGCACGCTTGACAAAAGTGCTTAGCAGCCTTTTGTCCGGTGTGAATAAGACACATGCATATAACGGTTGGGTCATGCCTGTCCTCATGTATACCTTTGGCATACTCAGGTGGGGTCAGACTGAACTTAACGCCCTGGATAGAAAAGTCCGCACTACAATGACGTCCCATAGGATGCATCATCCGAGATCGTCGGTAATGAGGCTGTACTTGCCGCGAAAGCATGGTGGGCGTGGCTTTCTGAGCGCGCTCACCATGCATAATCGCGAAGTGTGCAGCCTCCGTCATTACTTCCTGGCGAGATCGGATGATCCATTCTATAATGACGTCATTTCTAGTGATAAAGGACTTACCCCTCTATCCTTAGCCAACGAGCAATGGCAAGACCCGGCAGTACAGAGCATTTCCGACCGGGAGACCGTATGGAAGGAGAAGGAGCTCCACGGGAGGTACTGCAGGGCTCTACATGAGCCTCACGTAGATACAGCCGCCTCCCTCAACTGGCTACGTTTCGGTGACCTCTTCGGGGGAAACCAAGGGTTTTGTCTGTGCAATACAGGATCAGGTTATTAAGACCAACAACTATCGGAGATACATCCTAAAGGATGGCACTGTCGACGTCTGTCGAACTTGTCGCCATCCCGGGGAGTCACTTAGGTATGTCATCTCCAGTTGTTCGGCGCTTTCTAACTCTGAGTACTTGCACAGACACAACCTAGTAGCCAGAATTCTACACCAGGAGCTCGCTCTGAAATACGGTCTCGTGGACCGGAAATTGCCGTATTACAAGTACTTGCCGGAAGCCGTGCTCGAAAATGACCGCGCCAAGCTCTACTGGGACCGGGCCATCATCGCAGACAGGACTATTCTTGCGAATAAGCCTGATATTGTGCTGATGGACCGGGCACAGTCAAGGATATTTTTGATCGACATTACCATTCCGGTATGACGAGAACCTCGTGAAAGCCGAAACAGAGAAACGAACAAAATATCTGGACCTGGCTCACGAGGTGACCGACATGTGGGGTGGTCTGCCGACCGAAAATATCCCTGTAGTCGTCTCTGCGAATGGGCTAATCCCAGTCAGCCTCTCGGGTCATCTGAGGCGACTGGGACTACGTGACGGACCGCTCCGGACTCAAAAGCAGAAGGCGGTGCTCCTCGATACCGCCCGCATCGTCCGCCGGTTTCTTTCTCTTTCCCCCTAACCCTCGGCCGTTTGGTCTCCCCTGCCAAGGGCTTCCATCTGGTTGGATCTTATTTATTTATGTAGTTTTTGTGTTTATTTTATTTTATTGATATTTATGTATATTTATCTTTTCATTTTAATTTATAATTATATATTTATAGAACCCAACCAGGTGAGAAAATTATATAGATACCCAAATAATAGTAATAATAAATGATTTATTTTCTCACTACAATATTACAGAATTATTGTACATAATATTAGAATATTACACCTTAATGTTATACTGTGGGAGACTGGTGCCTAAGCTAGGCTTTACGCCTGTATTTCAGGCCACCAGGTCGCCGCCCTATGGTTGTAATTACAATACTTTTACTATGTACATGTACCATATTTGTAATTTACATAATGTACCTTCTTTTACCTAACTAGTAATAAATATTTAGGTAAAAGAAGGATTAATAGAGTTAAGAAGAATTAATATATATTGAAATCTGGTGCTAGTATTAGTCCTCTCTCTCTCTCTCTCTGTCTGTGTTGTGTGTGTGTGTGTGTGTGTGTGTGTGTGTGTGTGTGTGTGTGTGTGTGTGTGTGCGCGCGCGTGCGTGTGTGTGTATGTGTGCGTGTGTGTGTGTGTGTGTGTGTGCGCGCGCGTGCGCGTGCGCGTGTGCGTTTGCGTGTGCGTGTGCGCGTGTGTGTGTGTGTGTAGTTAGTAACTGGGGTAGAAATTAAATTTAGGATTGGGTTAGTATTTAACTTTAGTACGGATAGTAATTAGTTAGGATTAGTGAGTAGCTTTTCAGTGTTATCATAATTTAATTCTTGTAGCCAGATAGTTATTTTATTTTTGCATGTAGTCTTATTGACGTTAAATATAGGGATAATTTTATTGATTTTATTGTATAGAAAACCTCCGAGGTGACAAAATAAACGTTTAGATAGTTTGGTGGATAGAGATAGTAATTGAAGAATTTATTTTACAAGCAGACTTATAGGAATATTACATTCAAGAAAGATTTAAAAAACTTTTTTATTTTGAAAATAAATCAATCTACATCAAATCATTCACAGTCCGTAGAAAAATAGAGAAAGTTCACTTATCCATCTATTAGTTTCCCGCAGTTGAACCCTAAGTTACACATGACCGTAACGAACCATCCCGTAAAGAATTACTGCCTAAACTATCCTGAGTGTCACCCGCTTAAACCACTTAAGAGTACCCGGATGAAAGTGTATAACACTTTGTGAATATATAAAAACTGTGAATGAGGCCTGCAATAACTACCAACTAAAAAGTAAGCGAAAGTGATATGTCAGGTTCAGTCTCTTGGCGATCGATTCACCCTGCATAACGCGCAAAAAAAAAGTTAAGGTAAAGTAATAATAGCGCATATGTCGTTTTCTTAAATTTTCTTTTAATAATCTTACAGTTATAATGCAGCTAGTTTAGATCATTTTATATGGAACTGTAACGAAATTTTTACTTACCCAACCGCATTTTGTAAGTTGGTCGACTGTTTCTCGATAACCTGTTAACTGCGATATAATTACCTTGCTGTGATAGTTTTCCTTTTTACTTTATTATAAAGGGTTTTTCAATAAGGACTTGACAACTTTCTTTCAAAATAAAATGAAAACCATTTGAGATATTTCAAAAACAAGAACCAAAAAAATACAAGCCGTTCAATAGTGGCTTTGAGCTCTTCCAACGTTGTCGATTTATTAGCATAGACCATTGACTTGACGTAGCCCCAAAGAAAAAAATCTAGAGGCGTTAAATCGCACGAACGAAGCGGCCAATCGACTGGTCTATTTCTTGAGATAACACGCTCATCAAACTTGTTCTTCAATAAATTGATTGTAACGTGTGCTGTGTAGCTTGTGGCGCCGTCATGTTGAAACTACATGCTGTCCAATTCCAATTCGGGCCAAAAATAATCGATAATCATGGCGCGATAACGACCACCATTCACAGTAACGTGGCGACCACTATCGTCGAGGAAAAAAATATGGCCCTATGACGCAGCCGGCATGCAAACCGCACCAAACAGTTATCTTTTGTGGATGAAGTGGTTTTTCATTAAGCACATGATTTTAACCCGCCCTATTCCGCATATTTTGTTTATTGACAAACCCATTGAGCCAGAAATGAAATTCGTCACTGAAGATGATTTTGCGATGAAATTGATCATCTTGGCGCATCTTTTCCAGAGCCCAATCGGAGAACGTACATCGCTTCCAATGGTCCATCGGCTTCAATTCTTGAGTGAGCCTGGTCTTGTATGGGCGTAAAGTAGGATCCTTACGCAAAATTCGCCATAAAGTGGTCTTGGCGATGCCCAACTTTTGAGAACGTCGTGGAATTGACTGATTTGGATCATTTGTTACGGACGTTTCAACGGCAGCGATATTTTCGAAACTTCGACCAACCTGTAGTCTCACTGGCACGGCAACATCACACAACGAATATGTAGACTCAAACTTTTTCACTAAACTTGTTACTGCCTGTCTACTAGGACGAGAATTACGACCGAAAATCGGAGTTAACGCTCTTAAAGTAGCGGTCACCGATTCCGAATTTCTGTAGTAAATTTTTAAGATTTGCAAACGTTGTTCGTTCGTGTACTTCACCATGATGAAAAGGCAATGTCTACTGAATAAACTGACAGTGACAGTTCCATGTTAAGTGAAAAGGTACGTTCACAAACTAAATTTAAAATTGTCAAGTCCCTATTGGAAAACCCCTTATATACTACTAGTGTATACT